CTGAATATGGCAACACTCTCTGAATATGGCAACACTCTCTGAATATGGCAACACTCTCTGAATATGGCAACACTGCGAATATGGCACACTCTGCGAATATGGCACACTCTGCGAATATGGCACACTCTGCGAATATGGCACACTCTGCGAATATGGCAACATTCTCTGAATATGGCAACACTCTGAATATGGCAACACTCTCTGAATATGGCAACACTCTCTGAATATGGCAACACTCTGAATATGGCAACACTCTCTGAATATGGCAACACTCTCTGAATATGGCAACACTCTCTGAATATGGCAACACTCTCTGAATATGGCAACACTCTCTGAATATGGCAACACTCTCTGAATATGGCAACACTCTCTGAATATGGCAACACTCTGAATATGGCAACACTCTCTGAATATGGCAACACTCTGAATATGGCAACACTCTCTGAATATGGCAACACTCTGCGAATATGGCAACACTCTGCGAATATGGCAACACTCTGCGAATATGGCAACACTCTGCGAATATGGCAACACTCTGCGAATATGGCAACACTCTGCGAATATGGCAACACTCTGCGAATATGGCAACAGTCTGCGAATATGGCAACACTGTGAAACTAGCGACAACGTTCATTATAAAACAAATAATAAATCACCGACTACGCAAATACAGACTACAAAAGTACCAATACCAGGAACCTAATGCTTTTGTGATTAGAAAATACTAAATTACTTAGTCACGACGCAATTGTACCGGTAGTAACAGCTAGTAGTTTAGATCAAATCCAGGGGCCTAGCACAGGAATAAACATGTGTTACACTTTGATCACATAAACATATTATATTTTTATGCATAACATAGATACTGTAAAGCTGTTATATTTTTACAGCTACAAAAAGAAATCTTGTGATGTCATACGCATTCTGTAAATTCACAAAATGAACAGCATGACTTTATTACTTTGTTGATAATGATATGGTAGATTATACATACACAGAGAGATCTATTCATACAACAAGATTAACTTTTCACCACAGTTTATATAAACCAAAATGTGAGATAATATGCTTGTTTTCTAGCATCAATAGATTGCATTGTGATATAAATATTCCTCACCCCATTGTATATTGCCTAAATCTCTCACATTACTTAAAGGCAAGCACATCATAATTTTTTTTTTTCATATCTGTGTGCATTGCATTCGTATTTTGGAAATTATCATTCATATTTTGTATTGTTTCATTTTTCTAATAAAAAAATACACTTCACATTTTAGCTGACACCAGAAACTATTTGCATTAAATAATAATACAATTGTACCACTGACACCACAGTACCATTTGGACAGTTTGCCCAAAATAATATTAAAATTAATGAGTGTTTAAATAAAGTGTTGACCAATTCAAAGCGAATTCACAGTATAATTTTGATTGATAGAAACAACCAACCTTTTTCCCTCCACTGTTCAAGTTTCTTTCCAGCTCTTGTAACCGATCCAAACAGTTCAGACGGGATGGGTTCCATACGTTCATCAATTCTTTCTGTTTGCTCTTGGTTATTTGAAGCTTTGAAAAACATATTAACTTCGGCAAAGTCTGTGTTTTTGATGTCATTGTACAGCTTTTGCTGCTCATCGGGCATCAGATCCTCCCAGAAGTTTAAAATATGTTCCTGTCCATGTTCTTTTAATTCGGCTCTCAGGCTTCTGATGTCTATTTCCTGGGACATTGTTGTACTTGATGAACAAGAGTCAGAGGGAATTGTGCTGTATACAAAATAGACAGTAGATAATAAAATAGATGATTTAAAGGCGGTAGTATACATGTATCTCTTGCAACAATACTTAGAAATAGATAATGTAATTTTGAAAATGTAGGGCTCAAACATGACATGACAAGACACATTAATGACTGCAACACTTTAAGAAATGCATTTTCAATAATTAAAGCACCAGTCTCAGCAATATCGGTAATGTGCATTCTCATTTCATGAACACACATTGTATATACACACCTGTCATATGGGACTCGAATTCAACATCATTGTTTTGTGCATAATGATTTTTATTAAAAGTTATGGCTGTCATGGCAACAAATAATTAACCCGAACAAGTTAAATTTGTTAAATGCTGAATAAAACTTGCAAAGATTCACAAGAACGTCCGCCAGGAAAGTTTCATACGATACGAGTTATGTGTAGCACAGTACAAGTATCAACGTGGCAATCACAGGGTCACGTTGGGTAGTGGGTCACGACTTCGTAGAGATAGAGACTAGCCTATAAACTAGCTGTTACAAAACAACTACTCGTTTGCAGGAATCACAAATCAACCCCAACACCATGCATATACTCATTGTTCGATCAAACGATTAGTGAGGCACAGGATGTATTTTTTTTAAGCGGAACTGGCACTAGATCTGACCTTAATTTATTTTTAGGGAGTTGCTCGGTCATGGATAATAATAGTCCGGGTACTGGAAACGCCCGTTGTACATACGTACGTTGCGTCATATTTAATTTTCGACATTCTTGAACAGAAATCACCCAAACATGCAATTAACCAGATGAGGGTTTATCTGTCGTGCGATTTACATCAAAACCTAAGATAAAAGGTGCACGACAACTGCCTTTCAATGAAATTTACGCAAATTCATTAGAAATCGAGCCATAAACAAACGGTCTGTCGAACACAGTTGCTGTGAGTACAGCACATGTTAGCATGAGTACTTACCTAGCGTATTAGTACAGTGTATAATACACAGAATCACAAAAAGGTCTAAATAAAAGGAGGATACGAGTCGACGCAAATCCCCAACACGCACGACAGATGTATCCAATCGCAACGACTATTTGATTCAGTCGTCAACTGACAGGTCAGAAAAACCATAGGTTGCCGTTGATGGCGCAAGTCACAAATAAACAGTGAATCATAAAGATCACATTTTTCCGAAGTTTAAATAAATTAATTTCTATTTTACATACATGTATACATGTTTTTTCAGACTAAAAATTATTTTTTATTTCGAATTCAGTTGAAAAAAAAGAAATGGATCACTGCTATTGTACTGGACTTGCATACAGTCTCTTGTTTATGTTTTGCTGTTTTTTCAATAAAATAAATATTATTGTAGTGTATGAAAGATGAAAGTCAGATTACCACAAAATAAATGTATTTATGTTTATTTCACGATAACACAGCTTTTGCCATTTATACACTCCCATATTTTTTTTATTGAAAAAACATCAAAAAATAAAAAATAAGAGACTATGCAAGTCTACAAATGTACTTAAAAAATGCGAAATAATATATTGCAACATAATTGATAAAGTTCTTTTTTTTTATTTAGTAAATTACATTAGGGAGAAAGCAAAAAAACTAAGAATTAAATCAAATATCTGTTTTTATTTTTGTATAAGATTATATTAGGTTGCTTACAATTTGCTTCAAAGTAAACTTGGGCTTGATCTACATCACGATTTGAATTTCGTTGAACTATCAATATTACCTTGACTCATTAGTAACTATTTTTTTATTAGAGTTTGTGTATGAGTACATTAATAAAATGGTTCAATGGTAACTATGGATACGAATTGATTGCAAAACAGTTTATCCAATCTGCCTATTGAGTTGTATAGCACATCCCTTACATGGCTCACAATTGAATGTCTCATCACAAATGTGTGGTGGCGCTCTTCTGCAGATAATTTGTACTTTGTACATATTAAAAGTATGTTAGATTAAAGGAAAAGACAAGGCTAACAACATTATATTCCCAGATGAAAGAGCTCGGCAAATGTAAGAAAATGCAATTTATAGTTTTTTTTATTTTCATTCTCTAGATATTCAACTTTTCATCAGTTTATGTAGTCAGCCATCTTGATTCTTCAGCAAAGGATTATGAGTAAAGTATGACATCATATCCACTGTTGTTGGAAATTGGGAAAATGATTTCATCTATAACTTAAAAAGTTGAAACATACAAAACCTGTTGACTACGTAAAGGGGACAAAAAAGTGTCATTCTATTTTCAACTTATATCTTCACTTTCTGTGTATTTGTAACATTCTAATTTCCATTATTATAATTATATACATGAGTAATATGCACACCGACAATCTTAACTGATTCGCATCAGTATTTCTCATCTTATAGATGAAAGCATTTTCTCAATTAGTTGCTATGAAACAGATATTATGCCATATCTCAAAAAATCTAAACTTATAAAAAAAAATTTCTTTTCTTTAACATTGTATTTTATCAGACCTTTTATCTGTTAATACTATTTAGCCAATCAAAATACGGTATTGTAACATACAATGGAAAACAAATTGTCAAATTCAACTTAAACACTAACATTGACATCTCAAATAGTCAAATTTGAATTAACTAAATATTGTATATTTTAATTAATACTCCTAGTTAAACAATTGTAAACACTGAATATGCAAAAACGGTCAATTATATCACTTCAATTCTATTGGTCTAATTGTTGAAGAAAAAAGGGGAAAATGAAGAGATTATGTCTGAGTATTCAAATTTGAAGATTGTGGAACAATTTTCAGTTTTGTATCTGTGGAAGATATTTTATTAAGAACTAATGATCATAAAACTAGTTAGTAAATTTATTAAAAGTTCATCTGATTTTTTATTTTATCACTGGAAATGAATAATGTTTGTTTGAATGTATTAAAAAGGAATTTCCCAACCCAAATATTGTTGCAACATTTTGCACATTCTAGTTTTTTCCTATGATTTTTTTTTTTTAACTGAAATGACCATACTTTCGCATTGCCAACATGTATTGATCAACATTTTTTTACAGTTACAAAGTGTATGGTTATTGTTTGATCTTAAAAATTTTTTTTACCCATGGGGCAGTATGGTATGTAATAACAAGCTTCACCAAGGGAATACTGCCCTCTATGGCAAATAATTGTGCCACTTACAGGAATGTAGGAGGCTCCATACTTATCTTATGCTTTTATCTACATCTATAATCGCAAACAATTTGAAAATTATGTAAATTGTTCAATAGGTAACTGTGTGCAAAGATTAATATGAAAGAACACTATTTAATGAGTTTTTTGATTTTTAAAGCATTTTCTGAACTTTTGGTCATGTGACCCATTGACTTCATTGTGTCCATTTCTGTTGCTTCACATTTGGTCTTTTGTCAATATAGATTTCATAATCATATTTTTTTCATATGTATATGGAGATTATTAACTAACTTCTGAGCTTAGAGTGTCAAATTATTAATAGTTTGCCAAGCTACGTTCAAACCATGGATTTGGTATTGAAAGTCAGTAAGGCCAAAAAAAAAAACAACTTATGTTGCCCTTAAGTCGGAAAATTGAAAAAATTGGGTCGGTCAGTCAGATTTTTTTTTTTTTAAATTTTAAACTCGTGAAAAGTAAGGGTATGGTAAATAGCCAAGGTATATGGGAAAAAAAACGCTGAGGGCAACAAAACAATTTTTTTTTTGGCCTAATTATAACCCATACTCAATAATAAAGAATCTGGTTTGCAGAATACATTAGGCACCACAATCTGTGATGAGGCACTGAACAGAGAATTTTGTGTTCAGGAAAATAACATTGTTCTACCGACCAACAGCAATAACACACGTTATCTGTGCATTTGTTTTACGTTTTCCTAAAATTACTTTCGCTTCCAGAAATTTAACAGCCAACCAAGTGTGTCTGATAGAATTGAAACAGCACAGCCATGAGGTGTGATTAACTTTGTATAACAAGAACAGTGCTTTGGTTGAAGTGTTTACTAAGGTTGAGGATTGGTGGGAAGGTCTTGTACAAATCCCAGTAAAATGACCATATAGGTTAATTATTTAAGATTGTAAATGTCTGTTATTCATATTGTTTTATTTTTTAATGATCTATTTTTATGTCTATCCATGTTTTAATTCAAATAAATCTGAAATTTCAACTTTGTGAAACAGACGCACTGTTTTTCAAATATGTGAGGTGTTCTAAGTAGAGGCTTTTGAAACAAAACAAAATTTAATCTAAAAAGAATAAAAATAAGATTAATTAAATCACACCTAATGCTTCTCAAGCAATAAGAAGATTTCATTGCTCAAAATCCCCATTTTTGAGTCTGACACAAGTCAAAAATGTTTGTTCCCAGTCCTAGCATTTTACAGATGCAATGATGTAATAGCGACCAAGTTTTGAAAAAACACAACAGTTGATCTGACAGGCATGCTATTCATTGAACTCACACAACAGTTGATCTGACAGGCATGCTATTCATTGAACTCACACAACAGTTGATCTGACAGGCATGCTGC